CTGACCTGGCCCCGCCCCCGGGTGTGCGGCAGGTGCCAGCCCCGGGCGCATGGGTGGCTCCTGCCCTGGGGTGATGGCACATGCCTGTGCTGGCCCTGGCCCTGGGTGCGCGGCACATGCCGGTGCCGGCCCTGGGCACACGGCACCTGGGTAGCCCTGCCCAGGGTCGTGGCACATGCTGGTGCTGGCCCCGGGCATGCGGTGCATGCTTGGCCCAGGCCTGTGGCCTGTGAGCGGCCCTGCCCCCGTACACGTGGCGCGTGAGTGGCCCCGCCCCAGGTGCCCAGCAGCCCCAAAATGTTGGGGACCACTGTTCTAAGGAATACATGCTACAACTTATATTAGCATTGTATTCACATCCTGCAGTAGTTGATGGGATTGCATTGAAACCTTCATGTTACTCTGTTACATACTTGTACTGTAGCATACTAAAATGGTCTGGGCTGTGGAACTTTCCCAGAATGCTTCATTTCTGTGGGAAACTGTTTTGTAGAATTAGTCTGAGGAAGATAACCAGGCTTAGCAGAGAAGAGATTCAAGCTGTGAGAGAGATATTAGTATAACAAGAGAGAATTCCCTTTCTAATGTTTCATGGGTATGAAAAGAACATATCACAATGAGGCCTTCATGTTCTCTTTTCTTTTGATGCAGGACTTCACCTTGACACTATACTTAAGGCACTACTGGAAGGATGAGCGCCTCTCATTTCCTAGCATCACTAACAAGAGCATGACCTTTGATGGCAGGCTGGTGAAGAAGATCTGGGTTCCAGATGTCTTCTTTGTGCACTCCAAAAGATCATTCATTCACGACACAACCACTGACAACATCATGTTGCGTGTGTTCCCAGATGGTCACGTATTATATAGTATGAGGTAACCACACAATCTAGCTCATGGTCTGTGAATAGTCAGAGTCATTTGTTGTTTGCCCAACTTTAAGAGTCAGATTTGCTGAAGTTGGGACTTTGCCACTGTGACATTAGGGCATAATCTGAACTGTTGGACAGCTGTGTCCCTTCAGAACTCCCTCCTGCGGTACCATTTATACTGTTGTGCTGTGAAAACAACCACTCCTGGTCCTGCTCCCGCTCCCACATAGCCTCTAGCATGTAAACTCATGCCCAGCTGAATTACATGAATGCCTTAGCCAACTATTCATGGATTACATACAGTGCTGGGCGCCACCAGTAACTTCCTAGTCTCAGACCTTCTCCCAGAAATGTGCATCTTCTGCATCCCAGCTGTCTACTGGATAATGCAAGCTCATATAAAGTCTTATTTTATCAGTGGAAAATGATAAACAGAAATCTTATCTCAAGTGGAGGTTACCCATCATTTCAATGCAAACATGAATGGGGGAGGGAAGTTAGATAAAACAATAAAACATGTTTATTAATGATAAAAAGACACATTTAAGGTGATTACTAGTAATGAGACACAGTCAGAATGGCTTACAAGGAAAATGAAAGATAATATGCAAACTAATACCTAAGTTAGCAAGCTAAATGGCTGCAAAGCAAAGGTTTTGTCTCACCATAGGCTTAAGCAGTGGTCACCAAGCAGTAGATCGGGATCTTGATCTAGATTTTGGAGCCTCTGACAGGTGATCCTGACTAGTTTAGCCAAGAAGCTATCAAGTGCAGGCTGTGTATCTCCTGCCCTTTGCTTTGGAACTGCCTCCCACATGAATCTTACTACAAAGAGACTTTAAAACCAGATTCCAGATGGAGACTTCAGAACATTTATTTGTTAAAATTCAACATGTTGCAAATGGGCCTTAATATGAATGATGATTACCTTACACATTACAAAGACAGCCTCCCCACCTTTTGATATTCATAGTAACTCCAGATTAGCCACTTAATTGACTCTTATAATAAGCAATTTTTCTCCTTCCTTGTCTCCTCTCCCCCCATCTTCTGTTCTATGTAGCTGATTCATTAGTGTGTAATTTGTTTACTTTTTTCATTGTATCCCTCTGTTATATAATGGTCATGCCAATTCACATTCAGAATATGATCTAAAGAAGTGGGTTTGCCCCATGAAAGCTCCTCACCTAATAAACCATCTTGTTAGTCTTTAAAGTGCTACATGACTGGGTTTTTTGTTTTACCAAGATTACACTAACATGGCTACCTCTGTTACTTCTCTTTATAAACAAACTCCATGCTGCAAAGGCTATGCTTCTGCCAGCTTCTGAATTCATCAAAGTCACATGCAGGCTGTGATGCAGTTAACGCTGCTGGAGCCCATCCATGAATATTCATGGTGCCTGAGCACCTCAGGCTCATATAGCTCACTGTCTATGCCAAATGTATAGATTGATAGATTCCAGGGCCAAAAGGTTCCATTGTCATCCCCTTGTCTGACTTCCTGTATGACACAGGTCATAGAATTTTTCCCAAATAATTCCTAGAGCAGAGATTCTAAAAAAAAAATTAATCTTAATTTTAAAATTGTCATTGTTGGAGAATCTGCCACAACTGTGAAATTCTTCTAATGGCTAATTACTCACACAGATAAAAATTCTAGTCTTTGTCGAGCTTCAACTTGCAGTCACAGGATAGTATTCTCATAGACTCATAGACTTTAAGGTCAGAAGGGACCATTATGATCATCTAGTCTGACCCCCTGCACCGTGCAGGCCACAGAATCTCGCCCACCCCTCTTAGAATAATCCTCTCACCTATGTCTCAGATATTGAAGCCTTCCAATACTTTGAAGGCCCCAACATGCAGAGAGTCCTTCAGCTGTGATCTGTGCCCAATGCTACAGAGGAAGGCGAAAAACCTCCAGGGCCTCTGCCAATCTACCCTGGAGGAAAATTCCTTCCTGACCCCAAATATGGCGATCAGCTAAACCCTGAGCATGTGGGCAAGACTCACCAGCCAGACACCCAGAAAGTTCCCTATAATGAATGGTCAATTAGTTACCAAGATCATGTTATTTCATCCAACCATCCCCTTATCATAGAATCATAGAACTGGAAGAGACCTCAGAAGGTCGTCAAGTCCAGCCCTCCGCTCTAGGCAGGACCAATCCCATCTAAATCACCCCGGCCAGGGCTTTGTCAAGCCGAGACTTAAACACCTCTAGGGATGGAGACTCCACTACTTCCCTAGGTAACCCATTCCAATGCTTCACTACCCTCCTAGTAAAATAGTTTTTCCTAATATCCAATCTGGCCCTCTCCCACCACAACTTGAGACCATTGCTCCTTGTTCTGCCATCTGTCACTCATGAATCTCTGAGTAAAGTACCAGCTAATTCCCCCACCCTCTCCCAGTACTGTACCTCAGGAATATACTGTCTAATTTATTAATTGGTTCATCACTTCATCCGTGAAAAGTGGGCATAACATCAGCTTATGTAAAACCTGAGCAGATTCAGTGCACACTTCATATTAACTCACTAGTAAAGGTAAACAGTAAAGGAAGTTTGATGACCAAGATTGACTTTTTGCCCAACCCCAAACCTTATATTCATTTGAATTCTGAGTTTGGTTGGCAGACTTCTGTATGACATTTTTTGACTTAGAACTGCATGATGTTAAGAAATTAGTAGGATACAAAATCAACACAATACGCTTGAAGTATATTTTAAACTAGATAACTGATAGGGCCCCATTATGTAAACAGGGCAACATTATGAAAAGGGTGTGTTTCTAGTAGGAACCCATGGAGGTTAATTTTGGGTCTTATTTTTATTAATGATCTGGAAGAAAATGAGCTCCTTATTGATAAAGTTTTCAGATAATGCAAAGATTGGGGGGCTGGTAGATAAGATAGAGGACAGGTCATGGATACAGAGTGATTTACGTTGCTTGGTAAGGTGGGAGCAAGCACACTGTTTTAATATAGCTAAGTATCTGCTCATGTGTCTAGGAACAAACAATATATGCTATACTAACAGGACACTATTCTGGGAAGAGATGATTCTGAAAAGATCTTGGGGATTCTGGTATATAATCAGTAGAACATGAACTCCCAGTGCAAAGGCAGCCTTTGACTGTATAGGCAAAGGAACATTGAGTAGGTGTAGGGAGGTTATATATTGCCTATTTGTATGGTACTTGTGTGGCTGCTGCTGGACTACTGTGTGCAGTGCTGGTGCACCCAATATAAGAAGCATATTAGTGAACTGGAGAGGTTCAGAGAAGAATCACAAAAGTGATTAGAGTTTTGAAAAACATGCTTTACAGTGTAAGACTCAGGAAGCTCAATCTGTTTAGTTTAACAAAGAACAAGGCTAAGGGACTACTTGATTTTACAGTGTATCTACAGAGGGAACAGTAACTTGATAGTGAAGGGCTTGTCAGCCTAGCAGACAGTTATGCGGGATCCAATAGTTGGAAATGGAAGCTAGACAAATTCAGAAGTGAAATAAGGTGCAGATTTTTTTTAATAATGAAAGTAACAGAACCAATTAATTAAGAGTTGTGGTTGATTCTCAGTCATTGGAACTTTAAAAATCAAGGCTGTGTTATTTTCCAAGACATTCTCTAGTTACAACAGGATGTCCAACTAGATCAGTGGTCCCCAACATTTTGGGGTTGCCGGGCACCTGTGGGCGGGGCCGCTCACGGGCCACGGGCCTGGGGGCGGGGCCAAGCATGCGCCACACGCCCAGGGGTGGGGCCAGCTCAGATTGCTCCGCAGGCGTTGGAGACCACTGGACTAGATGATCACAGTGGTCCCTTCTGGCCTTCTAATCACTGACTAAACATCAAGAAGTTTACTGATGATCTTTTCAATTTCCTGTTTAAAATGTAAGTCCATTACTTCTAGCTCTGCAATTATTAAATAATACCTCTCCTTTGTTTGTGTTTAATATCTTCAGCACATATGCATGTTCTTACACCTCTATTCAACTACCATTGATGTACATACATGTTAGGCAATTTGTGGGCACTCTGATTTTTTGTTCTGAGTGTTCAACCCCATCAGTGTATCTGCGGGAAAAAACTAGTAATTCAATTACTAGTCATTTGTCCAAGTTTCCACTTTCTGTAAGCTTCCTTTTTGTGCTTAAGTACACCAAGGATTTCCCCTGTAAGCCAATCCGGTCTCCTACCAGGTTTGCCTCTCTTGCTACGTGTCGGGATGGTTTCTTTCTGTGCCTTCAATAAGGCTTCTTTAAAATACTGCCAGCTGTCCTGGACTCCTTTCCCCTTCATGTTAACATCCCAGGGGATTCTTTCCATCAGATCTCTGAGGGAGTCAAAATCTGCTTTTTTGAAGTCCAAGGTGTGTATTTTACTACTCTCTTTCCTTCCTTTGGTCAGGATCCTGAAATCTACCATCTCATGATCACTGCTTCCCAGGTTGTCACCCACCTCTACGTCCCCTATTAGTTCCTCCCTGTTTGTGAGGAGAAGGTCAAGCTGTGCACGGCCCCTGGTCGGATCCTTCAGCACTTGTACCAAGAAGTTATCCCCAACATTCTCCAAAAACATCCTGGATTGCCTGTGTACTGCCGTATTGGTTTCCCAACAGATGTCAGGGTGATTAAAGTCCCCCATGAGAACCAGGGCCTGCGATCTGGAAGCTTCGCTCAGTTGTTCGAAGAAAGCCTCATCTACCTCATCCACCTGGTTCGGTGGCCTGTAGCAGACACCAACCACAACATCACTGCTGTTTGCTCCTTTAAACCTTTCTCTGCTAGATGGAAGAGCCCATTACTGAATGTTTCTCTCTGACTAATGTATTGTTAATAACCACATTAATTAGGAAGGAAAATGGAATATTGTAGTGACACAGAGTTATATCTTATTTAATTTTGATGGACATCACTGTAGAGAACCATGAGAAATTGTTGCCATGGTAACATGCTGGACCGAAGTCTGAGCTCCAAATATCGGCTTTGGCTAAGCTCTGCTCTGGTTTTAAACCATACAACTCCTGTGACTTAGTTGAAGTGATTGAAGTGTAGGTCAAGGCAGAATTGGGCCCATAATCCTTTGATTAGCAGAAAGGTTCTTTGCCAACATCTAAAATGAACCAGGGAAACAGTCAGCCAGAGCTGAGGGTTTGTTGAATCCGGACGAGTGCTCAAGGCCCCAGGCTTTGCAGGGGGCTGCACTTCAATAAAGTCAAGAGGAGGTGGGTGGGGAGGTGAGGCAGCAGATGGGTGGGCAAACAGAGTGAGGAGGTGAACAGGGAGGCAATTTGGCAGGAAGGGGTGAGGGGGTGGACAGATTGCAAGGAGGTGAGCCAGAGAGTGGATAGGCAGGTAGGATGTATATGTGTGGAGGAAAAAAAACCCTCTTGATTCTCTGGGAAAGTTGTTACATAATATTAGGACAGATTAGATTCAGATTTATAAACTCAAGCCGGGATTGTTTCAGATCCCTAGGTCAGATGTGAATTTAACAGAGGCAAATCTGACTACTGGAAAAATAGCTGCCCTTCCCTCCCCGCCTTCCACTCCACCAATAATAATCGGCCCTCACAATTTAAACAAGATTGATCCAGCACTAAGAAAAGCAGCTTTCTCCTAACAAGACATACATTGAGGGACTTTTCATGCTTATGTTGCTGATTTATGCATGAGAAACTCAGGCAGGTTTGTTGTAATGACAAAAAGGAAGAGAGAAGGTAAAATATGGGGAGATGTGGAAGCTTTAACCAGGCTGGACATAAAGGAAGCATAATGCTTTGGAACCCAGTGAAATAATTTATTAAATAAGTGAACAGCTTTACTCTGAGGAAGAGATTCAACAAATACACTGAAACTATTATTGTTTTTTTGCTGTTTGAATTGCAATAGTATGCCAAACTTTCCCCCACAAATCATGGAAATCATGAGTACACAGATTTGGTATAAGCCACATTTGCTCCTTCACATGACCTGTGCACAGCCAACCAAGGCCTCAGTACTCACTGGGAAGTTTTAGTTCTTTTATGTTACCATGTTATGCATAATTTCTGATTTTAAATCTGGGAAATTATTTTTATTTATTTAAATTTATATTTTCTGTGCCCAGTGACACATTTCTCCTACCTTCTCTGGAATATCAATATCTCTTCTAGGAAGTGACCTTTCCTGTTTATATTTTTAGGATCACAGTGACAGCAATGTGTAACATGGACTTCAGTCGATTTCCCCTGGACTCCCAGACTTGTTCTCTGGAGCTGGAAAGCTGTAAGTAACATAGACACTCTTAGTTGCAAGTCCTCCGTAGCTGATTGTACACACTGGTGGGCTGTACATACTTCAGGGTAAAGAAAAATAATATTTTAGGGCTGGACTCAAAGCCTGTAGATGTCAATGAACGTTTTTCCAGTGAATCAAAGAGCTTTGGATTGGATCCTTATTTGTGGAGAGTGGGAGGCGTAGGAGTGTGTGTGTGTGGCTATGTTTACACTGCAAGCTTCTTGCACAAGAACAACTGTTCTTGTGCAAAAACTTGTGGCGCGTCCACACTGCACATGTGTTGCACAAGAAAATGTACAGTAAAGTGTCAGAAGAGAGGGCTTCTTGCGCAAGACCTCTGACACTTTGTATGTGGAATAAGCCTACTTGAGCAAGCGCTCTTGTGCAAGAAGGAAGTGTGGACGGGCTGCAGGGAGTTTTAGTGCAAGAACTTGCCTCCAGGAAAAAACACGGGTGACTGCTTGGACACTCCGTACTCACACGCACAGCTCACTGCGTCCTGCTTGTTGGACCTCCCCTTAAAGGGCCAGGCACCCTGCAGATGCCACGCGGCAGCAGCTCTGTATGTCGCATCTCCACAGGCATGTCTGCCCCGAGCCACCAGGAGCCACCCCAGGGCTCCCAGCAGGCCCGGAGGGGCACAAATCGGCGCGCCCCATGCTGGTCAGGGACAGAGGTGGAGGCTTTCCTGGACCTGTGGGGGCAGGAGGAAGTCCTCCAAGACCCGCGGTCCTGGCACTGGAATGCCAACATCTTTGGAGGCATGGCCCAGGCACTGGCCAAGCAGGGACACCCAGCCCGGACCCTGGAACAGGTCCGGGCCAAAGTCAAGGAGCTGCCCCTGGCCTACGTCAAGGCCACAAGTGCCTGCACGCCATCCTGGGGGAGACGGCGGTGGAAGGGCCCTCATCCATGGTGGCCCTGTGCACCCCAGTGGTCAGGCCGCCTGACCTGAAGGAGAAGGGCAACCTGACCACCACTTCCGAGGATGAGGGAGAGGACTTCCTGGCCACTGTCACCCTCCACCTGGAGCCAGTGCCCAGCAGCTGGGCCTCATTGGAGACCGGCTATAGATCCTCTGGTGAGTGTAGAGACAGTACGCAGCCATGCCTGCCCATGTGACACAGCAGCTGCTCCAGGGAAAAGCACAGTGAGCCAGCCCTTTGAGTGCGGCCCCCACGAAGCCCGCAGGCTGCTCCCAGCCCCTCTGCTGCCCCTGAGGGAATCCACACACTTCCCTGGGCTACATGTCAGAGGAATGGGGGGGAGGGGAAGTGGGCAGCCTGGGCCTCTGGCCCACTGAGTCTTGCTGCAGGGACAGTACGCTCCCAGTAGCCCTGTCTCTGACTCCGAGGAAATCAATGACAGTAGTGGGAAAACCCAGACCTCATCTGCCACACTTGCTCAAATGCAGAGTGGATGTGCACTGAAACATGACTACAGGATCATGGCATATGCTCGCAGGGAGAAGATTAGAAGCCATGTGCTCTATCTTTGGGAGCGTACACAGTGCTAGACAGACAGACACAGTATGCCAAGTAGCTAGAACACAGACAAGGGTCTTTATTCACAGTGATGTGCCCCAGTGTTACAATCCATGGAGGATCACTTCAATCCCAGGATTTTTAATTGGTCCTTCTGTGGCTTGGGCCAGTCATGGAGGAGGGCATGGGGCTCAGAGACACTGTGGGCGGGGCTGACAAACTGCCTTGCTGTCTTCTGTGTTCTCTGCAGCGGGACCAGCCGGGAGCGAGGGACCATCCAGCCCCGCACCGCTGGCACCAAAGATGCAGGGACCAGCTAGGTGGGCCAGGCAGCGTGGCCAGCTCCTCTGGTGGCATGTGCAGACTGTGGAGCAGATGGAGGAGGTGGTTAACACAAAGATCCGGGCAGACCTGGAGTGGCGGCAGCAGGCATGGGGGCAGTTCCTCCAGTGGTGTGACAGGATGCCACCCTCCCAGCTGCCCCTCCTGCCGTGCCCATGCCCCTTCCTGCTGCCCCCCATTGCCTCTCCTGTTGCTCCTCCTGCTGTGCCAATCCCCCCCTTGCTGTTCCCCATGCTGCCCACCTCCCAGGGCTGCCTGCTCCAACCTGGCCTGAAGGGTGCCAAGGCCTCCGCACCTGAGGAGGCGCTGGGAGGAGCCATCCCTCCCAGCACTAATTCCCCCTCCCAGTTCAGAGCCCCCTCCCACTGCCCACCCTTCATCCCAATGTAAATAATAGTTTATTTTTTGGTGAACAAGCAGAGTTGTGTTTATTGGAATGGGAGGGAAGGGGGGAGGGAAGGGTTGGGGATGGTAGAGGGATGTGGATGCAAGACCGAGGCAACCTACTGTGGGGCCTGGGAGAACATCTCCCTGAGGGCACCTCAGAGGCGCACCCAATAGCGGTTGTTCGGGGCTCCTCGAACGCCCAGCCCTCACCTGCCATCCACCCCGGAAGGGAAGGCCTCCCCCCTTCCGCTCCACAATGTTGTGCAGCATACAACACGCTGCGACCATCTCCAGGATGTTGTGCTCGCCCGTGTCGAGACGGGTGAGCAGACAATGGAATCTTGCCTTCAGCTGGCCGAAGGCGCACTCCACTTGGTTGCGGGCCCAGTTCAGGTGCAGGTTGAATCGTTCCTGGCTGGGGTCCATGCATCTGGTGTATGGCCGCGTCGGCCATGGCATCATGGAGTAGGCTACGTCCCCCGCAAAGTGGCATGTGGACATCCCCAACCATTAGTTCCCACTGGGGAAAGAAAGTGCCTGCTTCCAGCCTGAAAAACAGGCTGGAGTTTCAGAGGAGGAGGGTGTCATGTGCTTTGCTTGACCACCCCACATAAATGTCTGTGAAGTGGCCATGGTGGTCCATAGGGGCCTGGAGCACCATGGAATGGTAGCTCTTCTTATTTATGAAGTGGGCCGCTCGATGCTCCAGTGCCCGTATGGGGATGTGGGTCCCATCCATGGCTCCCCTGCAGTTGAGGAACCCCAGGGTAGCAAAGCCCGCCATGGTTGTGTCTGCGTCGCACAGGCAGATGACCCTCTTGAGCAGGATGTTGTTGATGTCTCGGACAACCTGCAGAAGGGCACACAGAAACACAGGGAACACGCAGAATGAGACGGTGCATGCATGGGCCCTTGGGGGGTGTCCATCTCCTTCTGATGGCCTCTGTCCCCAAACACGCCAGGGCCCCCTCGCTCCAGAGGTCCCCCCTGCCAGCAGGCCTATGTGAAGGAGGGATGGCACAACCCCCTTGGGTGATGGGGCTTCCCCCACCCCTACTGCCCCCCCTCAGACTGGCGATGGCAGCCCTCTTTTTGACGGGAATGGCGGGCTGCAGCTGGGTTTCTTGTCTCTGGAGTTCAGGGGTGAACCAGGCACTCAGCTCCAGGAACGTCTGCTTCCGCATCCTGAAGTTTTGGAGCCACTGCTGGG